TGTCGGCGGTAATTTTCTGCTCGCATGTATGCCCTTTCCCTTCGCTCATCAACGAGGTGCAGTTCTGCCCTCAAGTTCTCCTCATTCTCTTGTGCATCAAACGTCTCCACTCTATAGCTCAACAATGAGGTCTCTGCTGGAGCCCTTGCTTCAAATCCATATGTGAGCGAGAAAGGAGTTTCACCTGTGGCCTTCCTTGGGGTAGTCCTGTAGGTCCACAAGATGTAGGGCAATTCCTCCACCCAGGCACTTTTGCATTCCATTATTTTCTTCTTGAGACCGTCCATGATGGTGCGATTGGTGTTCTCGACCTGTCCATTGGTTTGAGGGTACCCGACCGCTGCATAGCTGTGACTTATGCCCCAACTCTGTAGAAACTCATTGAACCCTCCGGCCTCGAATTGGGTTCCGTTGTCAGTGATGATCTGCTGAGGCACCCCAAATCGACACAAAATTTGCTTGGAAACGAACTTCGTCATCTGTTCTGCAGTGATGGTAGGTACGGGGGCGGCCTCGACCCACTTGGTGAAGTAGTCGATCGCGACCACCAGGTACGTGTTGTTCCCTGTCCCCCGAGGCAAAATGCCGACCAGATCGATGCCCCAACGAGCAAAGGGAATCGCCGTACTTATCGGGGTGTAATTCGTCGCCGGTCGCCCCGGCACCCTTTGGAACTCTTGGCAAACCTTGCATTTGCGCACATACTCTGCACAGTCTCTAATAATCGTTGGCCAAAAGTATCCTTGTAGGGTTACCTTCCTGGACATCGTGAAGGCTCCCTGATGTGCTGAGCATATTCCCTCATGGATTTCCTCCATTAACTTCTGTGCCTCGCCCGCTCTTAAGCACCTCAACAATGTACCATTATATGATCGCTTGTACAGACGACCGCACTCCAGCGTGTAGCCGGGTGCACATCGCTTCACCACCTTTGCCGCGATTGGGTCGGCAGGTAGCGACCCGTCAAGGATGTACATGGTAATCTGATCAATCCAATCCGGCTCTTCTTTGAGTGCGATGATCAGCACTTGGCCGGGACTGATGCTTGGCTCGAGCAACTCTTCTTCTTGGGTCATTGCCTTAATATGATCCGGGGAATCCGGACCAAGTTTCGACAAGATATCTGCCTCAGCGTTCTCTTCCCGAGGGACCTGCTCTATCCGGTACGCCCCAAATGCTTTAAGCAACTCCAGGGCAGTGTCTCTATACTTCTTCATTCGTTCATCCTTAGCCTCAAACTCTCTAATGACGTGGCCTACTACGAGCTTAGAATCACACCGGACTTGGATCTGTTCAGCTCTTAATGAGGCTGCCAACCTTAAGCCACAAAGTAATGCCTCGTACTCGGCCTCATTGTTCGAGACTTTAAATCGGAACCTCACAGAGTAGTAAGCTTTGAACCCTTCTGGTGATATCGCCACGACTCCTCCCCCCGAAGCATCAGTCGCGGACGATCCATTGGTGTACACAGTCCACCAACTTCCTTCAGGTTCCTCTCCGCTAGGTCCTACTTCTCTTGCGGTGCATTCTACCACGAAATCTGCTAATGCTTGCCCCTTTATCGCCGGTCGCGGCTTGAACTCTATCTGGAAAGACCCCAGGAACACCCCCCACTTGCTGACTCATGATGGGGCATTTGGGCTTCGAAGAAGTGTTCCAATAGGAATCTGTGATAACATGTGGACCGGATGGGCTTGAAAATATGGGGTAAGCTTTTTTACCGTACATACCACCGCAAAGATGGTTTTCTCCATGTTTGTATATCTCAGCTCCGCCCCTCGTAACACCCGTGCCACATAGTATACTGGTCGCTGTGCGCCCTCCTCCTCCCTCACTAGCACTGAGCTCACAGCTCGAGGAGAGATTCCTAAGTATAAGAATAAGGTCTCTCCGGGCTCTGGCTTCGAAAGCACCAGCGGGGAGAGGAGGTATGCTTTCAACCCTTCAAAGGACCGTTGACATTCTTCGGTCCAGACAAACCCTCTGCTCTTCTTGATGGTCTGAAAGAAAGGAGCTGCTCGATCGGCTATCTTTGACAAGAAGCGACTGAGAGCTGCAATCCTGCCAGTCAGCTGCTGGACCTCCTTCACATTCCTCGGAGGTTCCATTTCTAAGATTGCTTTCACTTTCTCTGGATTAGGCTCAATTCCCCTCCGACTGACCATGTGTCCTAGGAACTTGCCCCCCTGAACCCCAAATGTACACTTCTTGGGGTTAAGGCGAAGCTGGAACTTCTTCATGATCTTGAACACTCTCTCCAGGTCGCCGGCATGGGACTCAACCCGTCTGGACTTGACAATCATGTCGTCCACATATGCTTCCATGCATCCCCCCAGCACTGGCGCGAACAACTTGTTCACCATCCGTGCATAGGTCGCCCCAGCATTTTTCAAACTAAAGGGCATCACCTTGTAGCAGTACACCCTATTGGGGGTAATGAAAGCGGTCTTCTCTTCGTCCGCCACGGCCATCTTGATCTGATGGTATCCGCTGAATGCATCCATGAAACTCATCAGTTCACATCCTGCCGTCTCATCAACCAACTGATCAATGTTGGGGAGAGGAAAAGGATCCATCGGGCAGGCTTTATTTAGATCAGTATAATCGACGCACATCCGCCAGGTATTCCCTTTGGGTGCGAGGACTACGTTTGCAAGCCATTCCGGGTAACGGACTTCCCGGATGTGCCCAATGGATTGCAGGGTGGTCACTTGCTTGGTGACAAACTCTCTCCGTTCTGAGGAAAGGAAACGCTTCTTCTGTTTGACCGGCTTGTGGGTCGGATCTACTGCCAATCTATGGCAGATGATCTTTGGGTCGACCCCTGGCATATCCTCTGGCCCCCAAGCGAATAGCACTTTGAATGCTCGGAGGACCTCCAATAACTGCTCTTTTAATTCAAGCGGTAAGGTTTTTCCTACCTTCACCTTCCGCTCTGGCTCGACCGGGTCCAAAGAAATTTC